CATTCTCAGAATCCTGGGTCCTCAGCTCACAGTTTGAATAGAATAGAAGTAAGCCTCCTTTGAATAGAAGTAAGCCTCCTTTGGGCTCCCTGCAGGCTGAGTGCTGGGTGCAGCAGCAGCACCTTCCTTCTTCCTTTCAGCAGTATAGCTGCTGGATTTTCTTATTCATTCTCACAATTTAGAGATTTCAGAGCAATGTGGCTAAATACAGTGTCCATAGAATTTTTCTGTCTGAGCATGTGTCTCATTCTTGTACTCTTTTATTATAATAAGTATTTCCCATACTTATTCATTCAGGTTAACATGATGGTTTTCACAACCATTTTGCAGGATTTGCCTTATGTCTGTCTTATTGAGGAAGAGCTTTGCTAGTATGAAATTTTCTGGGCTTGTGGAAAGCCCTCTGGTGTTTTCCTGTACACCCACAAGTAATTAATATCTAAATTAAGGACTCCTGCTTGGGGCCAGCCTCCTCTCCTCTGCCAGCCCATCTGGCTGCCTGTTGGGACTCCCTTGGAGCTTCATTAGATTGTTACCAACAGGGTAGGAGCCAGGCAGTCTCATCTCCCAATGTCCTATGTTTAGGTGTGGTAGGAAGAAAGTTCTCACATTGTTACCAAAATCAGAACATAGTTTGGAAAGGTGCTCTCATTCTTTACTCTTCACAGTTTACAGTTTGGAGGGAGGGGCGCTTCACTCTCTGGACACTGATGAGTCAGCAAGATAGCCTTCTAACATAGGCTCCACACTTGTTCCTCCTCTTATCTGCAAGATTACAGGACTTGTTTCAAGCAAGTCATGTTGGAGAGGGGCAGATTATGTTGTTAAAACCTGTGGCAAATGATATCTGGAATGGCTGTTGGTATAGAGAAAGAAATCTAGTAGACCATCTTGTCCATGTTCCAGATTTTACAGGTGAATTTGAAGTTTAGGGACAGGAAGGGACATTCTCTGAGCTTGTAGCTAGCTAGTTCTGACATCAGAAACTGGATTTTTTTCCTGCCTTGGATTCTGCACTACTTCACATGGAGAAACCTGGCACCTACTCTTGAAGTATGTGATCTGGCTCCTTTCAATGGATGATTGATGACTGACCCTGCCCCTGGCCTATTTGTGGTTGGTTTGATCTCGGCTTTTCCAGCAAAGGGATCTCTACAGCTTCTGCTGCTTCCTGCTGATGATACGCCAAGTATGTTTTTTAGGCAATTGAGAAAAACATACATTAATTAGACAAATGAAGAAAACAGAAAAATTAATAAATTAGGCATAGTGACACACACCTGTTATCTCAGGTACTCAGAAGGCTCAGGTAGGAGACTCACAAGTTCTAAATCAGCCAGGCAACTTAGGGAGATCCTGACTCATAAAATAAAAAGGGGCAGGGAAAAAATACTAAAGGTTCCTGAATTTTAATCAGATTTTTCAGGGGGAGATCCATCCTTTGGCATGAAGCTTGATTCATTATTTTTATTTCTCCTCCATCATGGTTATTCTGTGTAAATGGTTGTAAGATTTCTCATCAGTGTTGGTCTAGGATACTTTATTACTTTAAACACCACTGTTTACAAACAAAATGCTGCTTTTGAAAATTAAATTGTTGTTCTTAGCTATAACAAAATATTGTTTTTTTTAGAAAAAGATAAATGTTCAAAATTTTAAAAAATTAAGGAATCAAATTTTTATTCATGGAATGTTACTTTAAAAAAAAAAAATCAACAAAGCTCTTTTAATATATTAGAGATCGAAATAGCTGAGACCAGAGAAGTTTAGTAAGTGACTTGGGAAATTATGGTTATGTAGTCAGTATAAATACAAGTCATCTAACTTAGTTCAGTTTACCATTTGTTCCTAACTAACTTAGTTCAGTTTTACCATTTGTTCCTAGTTCCTGTTTTGTAGACTATGTTTTTATGTCTGATTCTTACTATGTTTGTGTATGATTCATGTGTTTTTACCCTTTTTGAGACATGAAAATGGAAGGTTAACCACCTGCCCTGGGTGTAGAATGTTTGTGTAGCAGTTTAAGAGCAGATCATATTTTAATGCTGCTACACCTCCTAAATGATCTGCATTTATTAATCAACTTACTTATTTTGTCCCAGTGGTAGAGTCTTTCCCTTGTGTTCTTTGTCAGACATTATAGTCAGGGCTTCCCAAGGAAAGGTAGCCCAGCTGAGTGCTATAGCCAATATTTTAAGAAGTCTGGGACCTTAAGTTCTCCAAAGAACACTTTGCTTATCTTGAGCACATTGTTATCTTTGGGAACATATGTTAACACATTTGTGTACTGAGTCACAGTATCTTTTACCTGTGTAGCCTCCCACACAGTGAAACATCTTTAAAAGGGAAAGAAACCAAGGTGGATAGATAAGGGCAACTTGTTCATGAAAGATGGTTAAAAGATATTTTAGGAAAGCAAAATATTAACTCCAAGTAAATTCGTAAATATTTCTACTTTGAGTTAATTTTTGATAACTGAAATTTAAGTTGGAATAAATATCAGCTGTTTAAAAATTTTCCAAAATTTGTTCCTTGTGCCTGTTCATTAATATCTTGTAATTCTCAGAATCTCTCTTGTTTGGATTAAAAATTCCACATTATTACTCAGTTTGCACAAGGAAGATACATGAAATGTCAGTGAACCACATATAGACCCATTGGATTATGTTCCCTTCAGGTGTATACCCTGTACTTTTTGTATATACATAATGATGTCTGTCTGACTGTTGGTTCTTTGACATTCTAAACATAATTAAACATTTTAATTGAGGTATTATTTTAAACAGTAAGTATTCTAAATTTAAAAATCAGAAGCATTTCTTTAGGCTTTTTTTATTCCCCCATTTTACTGGTACTTACTAACAACTTGTCAGTATTTTGGTATTGTGCCGTGATTCATCTTTTTTTTTTTTTTTTAAATTAATCCCATTACTCCCAGCCATTACCAAGAATGTGTAAGCTCTATGAGGACAGGAGAACTGTTAAGGGCTTTGAAGTTGCAGAACTCTGTTTACTGTTGTATATCAAACACCTCAAATAGTTCATAGCCTGTGAGTTCAGATGATATAGTTTCAGTGAATTCATGTGAAAATGCTTCCTATGAAAAGTTATTTTAAGTGATCATAGATGTTTTAATACCTGTGTAATCCCTGTTCAAGAGACAGATAAACTGATTTTCTTTCAAAAAATTTGGTTCCTTCTCACTTCGTAATGTTTCATCCTTGAAGGTTATTTAGCCAGCTATTCATGGTAGGCAGACACACTGGGATTTTGCTGGGTGTTACCTAGTTTTGGATGATGCAGTGTATCTTTTGCTTATCTCTTTTACATTTCCAGTTTCTTGTGGACAAGATGCCCAAATGACTTAATATTTAAATGGTGATATTTGTATTTCTAATGTATGGAAAAGTATATTCTAAAAATTAATTTTTATGTGGAAATAATTGCAGAGAAACATTGTCCTTGCATTGAGGTCGCTGGCATTCTGTAAGGTTTTGTTTGGTTTGAGGTGATGTGCATGTGTATGTTTTGGTTTAATGTTTTCTTTTAATTTAAGGCTGTAGTGCTATTAGATATCAGAGCTATTTTTTGGTTAAATTATATCCTTCTTGGGGCTGGGGATATAGCTCAGTTGGTAGAGTGCTTGCCCAGCATGCACAAGGCCTGGGTTCAGTCCCCAGAACCACCAAACGGGAAAAAAAAAAAAAATTATGTCTTCCTTTTACTGAAATATTAAAAATGTATGTGCATCATTAACCACTAGGAATATAAAAATCAAAACGAAAAATGCAAGTTGGGGGCTGGGGTGGTGACTCAGTGGTAGAGTACTCGCCCAGCATGCATAAGGCACTGGGTTCGATCCTCGGCACCACATAAAAGCAAACTAATGTATCCACCTAAAAAAAACCTAAAAGATAAATAAATAAATAAATATTAAAAAAAGAAAGAAAGAAAAATGCAAGTTGGGTTTGATGACATTCCTGGAGCCCTAGCTATTTGGCATGGTGAAGCATGAGGATTGCTTGAGTCCAGGAGGTTAAGACCTGCCTGAGAAAGAGTGAGACCCTGTCTCAAAACAACAGCAGCTAAAATGAGATACCACTTCATACCCACTAGTGTGACTACAATAAAAAAGATAGTTAATGTTGGTCAGGATGAAGAAATTGGAACCCTCATATGTTGCTGGTAAGAATGTAAAAGGAATAAGCACTATAGAAATCAGTGTGGGTACTTCATCAAATGGCTAAATGTATACTTGTCATATGACCCAACATTTCCCTCTAAGTCAAGAAAATACAAAGATGGATCCCTACGAAAACTTGTGCATGAATATACATAGGAGTATTATTTTCAATAGCCTAAAAGTTGGACACAATCCAGATGTCTATCTAATGAATAGATAAACACAATGTTGTATTCCACACAGCAGAATATCATTTGGCAATGAAAGGAAATGAAATACGGATATACTTAACACAAGAGTGAGCCTTGAACATTATGCCAGTTGGAAAATCCCTCTGTATGATTCATTTTAAATATCATGTCCAGAATCAGTAAGCACATTAGTGATTGGTCAGGGCTGGTGGTGGTGGAGGGAGATGGGGAGTGACTACTAATGGTATGATGTTTCTTTCTGGGGTGATGAAAACTTTCTAAATTAGGAAGGGGTGATAGTTGCACATCTAAACAACATTGTGCTCTTCAAATGATGAATTATACACGTGAATTCTTTTTCAGTAAAGTTGTTACTAAAGATGTACATATAGAAATTTGCTTTCACGAGCATAAATTATCTGTGCAGTCTTACACATTGGTTGCTTATGGAAGGGAGAGCTGGATTGGGGCAAAGGTAGGGAGGGTTTTGTTTTGTTAACTAAATGCCCTTTTGTGTCTGTCAAATTTTGTGCTGTGTGATTGCATCACCTATTTTGCAAATGCATAAAAATTAAATAATAAAAGTATTGATAGCTACTTTCCTCTTTCGATTTTACTATAACTAGGTTCTTCAAGGGTTAGATTATCTACACAGTAAGTGCAAGATTATTCATACTGACATAAAGCCGGAAAACATCTTGATGTGTGTGGATGATGCATATGTGAGAAGAATGGCAGCCGAAGCCACTGAGTGGCAGAAAGCAGGTGCTCCTCCTCCTTCAGGGTCTGCAGGTGAGGGAGCTGATTGAGCTGATCTTTCTTCATTTCAGTCGACTTGAGGGCATTTTGAACTTGCAGAGTTGTACACTGAAGGCAGTTGAGTCAAATATGTATATGCAAATTAGGAACTTTTTGTAAGAGCTTGGTTGCTGGAAATAACTGGAACATTTTCTTTAGACGATTTTCCAATTGCATTTTATTTTAATATTTGAATTATTCATCTTTGTGTCCTCCATTAAAAGACCACCTAAATTATTAACTGTTGCTTCATCTATCTGTATCTGCATTTTCTTATGTTACCTACTTCTGTAGGGAGGAACATAGTCATGAGAATTTTTTTCTAGCTTAATTTGTTAGAATGCTTCCCTCTCTTCAGTTAACATACCTCTATCAGTCTGAATTTAATTAGAGACTTTGGAATTAGATACGAAAGACCTAAGGGTATAGAGGAAAGATGACCACATGACTTGAGCATTGGCATATAAGGGTGCTCCCCCCCACCCCCTCGAATTTCACAGAATTCAGTAATGGTAGTGTTGATATGCTCTTTTTACATTATCTGTGCCCTGGTGTGTGGTCAGGCAGTTGTACAGGGCTAACACTCCTGTGACTAGGGCTCTGGGGCTCTTACTTCTTCTACTATCTACTCTAAGGGTGTTTCTTTAGATCATGGAACCAGCCTGTCAAGTTTTTGCTTCTGGTTAGGGGTCTAATGTGATTTGGAATAATTGTCACAAATTACTGTGTAATTACTAATAAAAACTCTGTACTATTTAGCTTAGTTTTTTTGTATGAGATTTGCCAAGTGGATTTCGAAAATAAAATGTACATTTTCTCATCTAAATTGTTCATTATCTATAAACAAATTTGGTCTGATGACTATATGATTTGTGAACTCTTCATTTTCTTAAACTGATAGTGGATGCTTGAGATTATTGACTCTTTTTGAAACTGATTGTCATTTAATTTTAAATAAATAATAGAAATGACTTAGTATGAACAGCTTTTACTCTGCCCTTTAAGGGTCAGTCATTTGAGTTGAATACATTTTCTTTAGATCCTTACAATAAAGAAGCTCTTGATTTTTAACAGTTTTTGAAGTTGGATAGCCATTAGAAGATTGTAATTAATTCATTTTGCCAGTTTGAATTACCCAAATGTATGTGTCAGTTTTCGTCTAACATCCATTTTGTTTTATATTATTTTAGTGAGTACGGCTCCACAGCAAAAACCTGTAAGTACTTAAATATATACTTATATTCAGCATGTTAAAAGGAACTATTCACTAAGCTTTTCAAATGATAACAAATGTTCTAATATATATTAACTTAGAAGGTAGACATGTTTATAAATGCTCTGTATCCTTAAGTATGTAAAATTCTTTAAGTTGAAGTGATTTCTGCATAGTTACGAGTCATCAAAGCTGTTGTAAGAGCTTCTTCCTAGGTACTGTTGGCAGAATCTCCTGAATTGTGAGGTGATGCTTAAGAGTTTGAAGTGTGATTATTCCAAAATCAGTTTATATTACTTCTCATTGGCTTCTCAGTTACTTATTTTTCCGACACTGATATTCTAATTTTTTTTCTTAGACAGTTGTGTAAGTACGAGAGAGTATTATCCATTTTGTGGTCCTGTCAGAAACACTGTGTTCAATGAAGCAGCCCTCCTTTTAGAAGGAAGTTTCAGTGTTGAGAATTTGGCTTCCTGGCCAGTTGGGGAGCCTGAGTCATTTCCACAGTGTTCTCTTGGTTTGCTGGCTTGAGTTCACTAATCCTGTGAAATGTTGGAGGTTCTTAATGCCTGTGCTTTCCAAGTCAGGTGGCCAGAGCTGAAAGCAGGCAAAAACTTAGGGTTTTTGATTTTTCACCCTTTTACTTCATAGGCTCATTTCTTAAAGTTCATGTTGTTTTGTTTGTTGATAACAACTCAGTGTGAGGCAGACTCAGGCAGTGCTATTGTCTACCTGTCCCCCCCCCCCCCCCCCCGCCCCCCCCCCATGGTGCTGGGGATTGAACAGGGGGCCTTGTGTATGCAAGGCAAAAGCACTCTATCAGCTGAGCTATTTCCCCAGCACTGTTTTTTTTTTGAGGTTTATTCTTTAGTTGTGGCCAGACACAACACATTTATTTGTTTGTTTGTTTATTTATATTTATTTATTTAGCTGAAGCTCGAACCGAGTGCTTTGCATATCCTAGGCGAGCGCTCTACCACTGAGCCACAACCCCAGCCCTTGTCTCCCTGTTTTGGCAAACATTTCTTTTTAGTTAATAAGGAGGTGAGAGGGCTGTAACTTTGTATAAGGCAGCAACAAATAAAACTTTCAAGAGGAGCTTCCAAGTGTTTCAGTGATTCAGTTCTCTTAGAATTGAAATGATGAGGAGGTATACTGCTCTGAGGGTAAGACCTGATATTAGCCAGACTGTTTTCTCTTTCACCATAATGCTTTTCTCTGGGTTTGTGAATTTAATTGAATATGACGTGAAAAAAATGGTTAGTGTTTGCCATACTGCCAGCACTTGTGCTATTATATGGTGCTTTAAAAAGGAGCCGACTGACCTATGGTATTTTCTTAACATGTTGTAGATAGGAAAAATATCTAAAAACAAGAAGAAAAAGCTGAAAAAGAAACAGAAGAGGCAGGCTGAGTTATTAGAAAAACGCCTTCAGGAGATAGAGGAATTGGAGCGAGAAGCTGAAAGAAAAATAATAGAGGAAAACATCACCTCCGCTGTACCTTCCAATGAGCAAGATGATGAGTACTGCCCAGAGGTGAAACTAAAAGCGGCAGGATTAGAGGAGGCAACCGAGGAAGAGACTGCTAAAGACGATGGTCAGTGGCACCCGGAGTCAGGGTTGATGGGGTCTTGGGAGCATCACAGAGGTGGGCTTTGTGCTGCTGCTTCGGATACTAAGGAAGAGTTTCTCTGTCTTCTTAATGGACAGTACGGGAAGCAACCTGTTCAGTCTGTAGTTCATTAATAAAAATGTATGACAGACATTAGTTAACACCGCAGTAGTTTTTAAAAATGGAAAACACCATGTTTCTATCCATGCTAATAATGGCCCCTTTTTATTTTGTGATTAAATTTTTGCCTAACTAACACATCACAGACCTTTTTCTGAAGGTTCGGGAGAGGGTAGGAATAGAAATCCAACTTTACTTATAAAATTATTTTCCCCCAATGCTAACTTCCTCTAAGGAGACTCGACTAATAAACAAATAAGTTAAATAAATGAAAAATAAGATTTAGAAAGCTTACAGGGTTTACCCTGAAAGCCAAGAGGTGTTGACTGTGTGGTACATAAATTAAGCACATTAAGAAGTATATCTTGTCAAAGGACATAAGTACCTCATGCCACTGTGTCAAAGAGAGTACCAAGGCCTAATTCTTAACCCCTGAACTTTTTAAGGTGAAGCTGAGGACCAAGAAGAGAAAGAAGACACTGAGAAAGAAAACATTGAGAAAGATGAAGATGATGTTGAACAGGAGCTTGCGAATATAGACCCTACATGGATTGAGTCACCCAAAACCAATGGCCATATTGAGAATGGTCCATTCTTACTGGAACAGCAGCTGGAGGATGAAGAGGATGATGAAGATGACTGCCCAAATCCTGAGGAATATAACCTTGATGAGCCCAATGCAGAAAGTGATTACACATATAGCAGCTCCTACGAACAATTCAATGGTGAATTGCCAAATGGACAACATAAGATTCCGGAGTCGCAGTTTCCAGAGTTTTCCACTTCATTGTTCTCTGGGCCCTTAGAACCTGTGGCCTGTGGCTCTGTGCTCTCTGAGGGATCTCCACTTACTGAGCAAGAGGAAAGCAGTCCATCCCATGACAGAAGCAGGACAGTTTCAGCCTCTAGTACTGGGGATTTGCCAAAAAGTAAGTGTCCTTTCCCATCCATTGTCTGCTTTCACTGGCTCCAGGGTCATGCCTTTGACAAACACTGTGAAAGGAGCTGACTGGTGGTGGTAAAGCCATGTCCATGTTTTAACCATTTTTGTTTTATTGCTTTTATACTCATGAACAAGAAATGTGCTTTAAAAATTTGTTCTGTGCCACTGGGCTTTCTCTTACTCTCTGCTTATGCAATCCCATTTCTGAGCTTTTCTTATTCTTTCTATATTTAGTCAGTGACACCTAACATTTGCAAAAACCTTGGGAGTTTAGCATCCTTATAGGTTCCTACAATGCATTAATTTAGCTTATAATTTGTAACCTCTTTCATCTGATGGTGTTATATTTAGGTTTTTGGCTTGTTTCTATTTGAGAGAACATCTGCCTGCTCTTTTGTTATGTTGAGAAAGAAGTGTCTTGACTTATTTTGATAGTTGTCCCTAATTATAGGACCCTGCTATCAATAACAGTCCCAAGATTATAATTTTGTAATTTTAAAGGAAGTGACATGATTTAAACATGAAAATAGATTGTAGGTATGTCTGTGCAGGGCCCTGTCTTATTTCAAACCCTTATTTTGGGAGCAAATGCCATGTGACATATTGCTGAGTGACTTCAGTAAGTGAAAACTGGGCTCTCATTTGGTTTCCATTCTGGCTCACAGTGAAAAGCTCAGAAACCTCCTCTGCTCCCTCTGCTGATAGGACTGCTTAACACATGGCAGGTTATTGATGAGCCAGCCCTATAGACAGCCCCATAGATTCTGCAGCCCCTTTCACTCTAGCAGGCTGACAACTTATTCTCTGAGAAAGCCAGCCACCCTTGTTACTCAGCTGTAACTAATCATTCTAGCATGTGTTTTCTTAACTTGGTGGGACATAGTTAGCTCCTGGTCACCTTTTTCCTGGCCAGGGAGTATTCAAAAGCTTCACAGGTAGATTCATTTCTAGGAAAAGGCAGCCATGGAAATATACCTTCTCTGCTTTTATTTTTGCTGTTGCTCATTTTAACTTACAGATGCATATAGAAAGTAAATTTACAGAGTAGCTTTGTATTATTGTGCAAGCAACAGTTTGGGGCAGTGGCTTCAAATATATGAGGTTAAGCTGGGTGTGGTAGTTCACACCTGAAATCCCAGCAACTCAGGCTGAGACAGGAGGATCCCAAGTTTGAGACCTGCCTCACCAACTTCATGAGACCTCTCAAAATAAAAATGGTCTGGCCGGGTATGTTGGCACATGCCTGTAATCCTAGTGACTTGGGAGGTGAGGAGGGAGGATCACAAATTCAAGGCCAGCCTCAGCAACTTAGTGAGGTTCTAAGCAATTTAGTGAGATCCTGTCTCAAAAAGTAAAAAGGACTGGGAATGTGGCTCAGTGGTTAAGTGCCCCTGGCTTTAATCCCTGATATTAATAAGTAAAGCAAACAAAAATAAAAAAATTCTGGGGAATAGCTCAGTAGTAAAAGGCCACTGGGTTCAATCCCTAGTGCAACAAAACAAAACAAAAACCAAGATTAAATCCCAGCTCAAAACTTAATAGCTATGGAACTTTGATTTCTAAATCTCCCTGAGTCTCAGTTTCTTCCTCTATCAAAGGAAATTAGTGGCCACATCTAGGTTAGTTATTAGCATTGAATCAAATGCTACCTGTAAATGGTTTAGGTATATAAATAGTGCAGGTAAACAAATGATATATGATATATAATGACAATAATGTATAGAATATTTCTTAGTGAATGTACCTTCTTGTCATGAACCTGGTAGGCGCCAGGCTTGCTACTGCTATTGCCATGTTGTCAGTGTCTTTGAGACCCATGTGAGTTGTAAGGCTCAGGACAGTTTGTCTTGCTAGTAACCAGTAGATTCTGAATGCAGGCCTCCTGTTTCCTGGTCCAGTTTTGTCCACCACATTATAATTCACATTCATAATAGGCAGATATATGTTTAGGCTTAAAAGAAAAACTTCCTATGAAAAAAACAGAAGTAGAGGGAAATTCAAAATTATGGTGAATGCATGAGTGAATGGGTGAGGAGAGGGAAACATTCTGATTTAGACAAAATGTAAAATCTGGTTGGAGATATTATTTAACTCAGAGCACGTTGCTTGAATTTAAGGAATACTTGGGCACTCTATCAGAGAACTACGTCCATACATTTCTTGATTGACATCAGGTTGCGCTTCTCTCCCAGCCTGTGTTTAACAGTGGGGTGGGGGGTATATGACTCATACCTGAGCTGCACTCCACAGACCCTGCTGCCTGGCCCACCTAAGTCCTCCTCCTGCTTTGTGGGCTGCACTTTGTCCTGCTATTTCCTAGGGTAGTTCCCTAATCTTTTTCAGCAATCTTAAGCATGGGCGTTACCCTGATCTCTATTCTTAGCCCATTCTTCTGACACTCCAGTCTCTCCCTAATTGACCCAGGCCTGTCCATGTAACCATGTAATCCATGATTACAGCTGCTGTCAATGTGGTGTTGCTGACCAAATCCCTGTTTATTCACTCAACTGTTGAGTCCCAGCAGTATTTTGGTTAGTCCCTGTTGTGGGTACTGAGGATAGTGGTCAACAAAACCAAGGATGTACCTGCCTTTCTTCTTGGATTACCATGGGGGTAGGTAGCCAGTGAAAACCAGTTAGTGTTGTGAGCTGCTGTGGGTAAATTAGGCAGTGGTGTGGAGGGCTGCTCTAGATCTTACTGAGAGAGATCACACCTCCCTGACAGGATAACCTTTGGTTAGAGACCTGAGGGAGTGAGGAAGCAAGTGGAGGATCCAGGGACTTCTGGCAGAAGAATCTCTTCCTCTGCTTTCCTATGCTGGAGAGCCACTTATTCAACAGTGTTCAAGACAGCCTGATCTCTGTGTCACAAGGGGACTTCAGACACGTAGAAACCAGAGCACAGTTTGCTCTCTCGATTGGCTAAACCTCCTGTATTCCCTTGATGGTCCTTGACACTCCCCATTTTTTCTCTCATACCCAGTAGGTCACTTTGTCCTAACAGTCATACCTCCTTAAATGGGGGTCCTCCTTGCCTTGGCCCTAAAGAGCATGGTCATTGCCTGTTTGTACTATCACAGAGGCTACCTTTTGATCTGGCTTTTTGTTCTTTCTTGTTGCCATCCTCACCTGTCTTTAAGTCATTGCTAGAGTGTTTTAGTGGGGTGTATGATCCATGAGTAACCAGACCCATCCTCTGAGTTGCAGGAATTACTAGAAAACCCACTCCTCCCTCTCTTCCTCCCCGCCTCCCCCCTCCCTCTTTCTGGTACTGAGGATTGAACTCTGGGATGCTTTACCACTCTGCTCTATCCCCAGCCCTTTTTTTTTTTTTTTTTTTTTTTGAGACAGGGTCTTGCCAAATTGCTGAAGCTGGCCTCAAACTTGAGATCTTCCTGCCTCAGCCTCCTGAGTTGCTCAGGTTACAGGTGTATACCACCATACCTAGCATATCTCTGTATTTTAAAAAAATATATTTTGAAAGAATAGTACAATAACAATTGTATACCTTCAATATAAATTCATACTTAACATTTTGCCACACTAGGTATATTTACATATATGTAAATAAAAACTGTGTTGTAGATATTGGGATTCTTCTAAATACTTAAGTATAGGGCTGGGGAATATAGCTCAGTTGGTACAGTGCTTGCCTGGCATGCATGAGGCCCTGGGTTCAGTCCTCAGCACCACCCAAAATAAAAAAGAAAACCAAACAAACTTCAGTATTTGTCTCCTGAGAGATGAAAGGACATCTTTGTCATAATAATGATACCATTATCATAATAAGAATATGAGTGATTTTATAATATCTATTATTCATTATATAGTCGATTTCCTCAGTAGTTCTAAAATGTTTTTTTTTTTTAGTTTCCATGATCCAAAATATGACAAAACAATGTATCTCCTCCTGGGTGGTTGCTTCTCTATTCCCTAGCGGGCCTCTGCAATCTTTCTTCTTATCCTACTGACTGTACTTTACTTAATTGTATGGTCATTGCTCATTTGCATTATCTTCTCTTCAATGGAATGTAAACTCTTTGAGAGCATGGTATGTTTTTAACCTTTGTATCCTTAGCACCTGAATGCTAAGATAAATACTTTAATAAATGAAAAAATGAGTGCTTTCTGGTTATATTTTATTCTTTACTTTTTCCTTTTGCAATAAAAATTTTGTTCTCTCCAACACACTACCATCCCTAGAAGCTCTGTCAGATGAAAATCGGTGATCTTTTTTACATTGTCCCTTTCTTCTTACCAAGCAGAACTTTTCAGTGTTGTTAAATTCGGGGGAGGTTCCAGGCAGGATCTCCTGATGCAGTCATCGTGTAGAGGCACTCCATTTTGGTTTCCTGCTCGGTCATTTGGTAGCCTCCCCATAGAGGAGGTGTTTTGTTTCCCAATGGTCTAGGGGCTTACAGTTGGTAACCAGTTACTATATGATCAAGAGGCAAAAGAAGCAGGCTTTGTTGAGAATTTGCACAGATCCTTCCCATTAGAACACAGTACATGTACATGAGGAAGTAGTGTAAGAAAGCTTGGGGGCCATGTTGAGATGTTGAGAACATAAATACCAGGCTAAAGGATATAATATTTTTCCAGAGTAACTTGACAGCCATTGAAGGTTGTGAAAGGGGGAAGGGTTCCTCTTAGGTTATTAGCTGCCAGAACTACAACATAGATCTTGGCTCATGTTGTCTGAAGCACAGAGGCCATGGGGGTGGGGGTGGGGGCATCATTGTTTGTGCATGTAGGGTCTACATGGAGTCCTTACATGTCTTCTAGTCACTGTCAGCTTTTGTCTAGACTGCTGCTGGACAGCCTCCACCTCTTGTTCCCCAGGCCATTCTTATCTAGTCCACAGACACCTTTTAAAAGTATATGTCCTTATCTTTTCTCCACATCCAAAATGACCTAGCATGCATTTCCCACATAAAGCCATACCCTGAGGTACCTTTGGAAGTTGATGTCCCCTGCAGTGGTCTGACGTCACGTGCTTTGCACCACTCCTGCTGGCTTCTTCCTAAAGTATCTCAAAACTGAACTCCTTTCTGCGTCTGGCCTTTGCATTTCCACTGTCTTCTGCCTAGAACTTCTTCCTTCAATTCAGTCCTCTTCTTGAATGTCACCTTCTCACAAATGACCTCTCCTAAACATTATCCTCCTTCTCTTTGATTAATAGCATATGTAGTTATCTGACATGCTGTGTGACTTACTTACTTTATTGTCTACATTTTAGGTAGTATGTGAATTTTCTAATTTGGGGTGTGTCTTCTTCATGCTGTGACCCTAGAGCCAAGCTGGCACCTGGCACACAGAAGGGGCTTGGTAACCATTTTTTGAGTGAATGGGTTAGGTGTTTCAGTAAGTCTCCTAGTTCTGCTGCTTCCTGTTCTGACCCATCTCCATGTAGAGAGGATATTTATGTCTCCCTTGTAGAATGTTCTAAAATATAAAGAGGGAGTATCTGCCCCACACAGTGCCTTGCCCAGGTGTGATGGCAGCTGAGGCACTGCTAACTACCTTCTTGCTAGGTTATAGGATAGACTTACCAGTGTTACCCAGAGATTGACTTATCAGAAGGTGACCTAAAGGACCCAGCCCTTCCTGAAGTGAAATCTTCTCCCTTATTCTCTATTTGGTGGAAGCAGAGAGCAATTGTAGCTTTTCAGTTTGTCATTTGGTTTAGCATTGTCAATGAAAAGGAAGAGCTCTGACAGGTTGCCACAGTGGCCACTTAATCAGAGGGGGTGATCTGATTGCTTGCAACACAAAATTGTAATGATTATGCAGCAAGTGTGAGCGTCCCTGTATTATTTATGAGGCCTTTTGGAGTGTTGCATTCAGGTACCTTGACACAGGAGCTGTCACACTGAGAGAGGAAATGAGAAACACAAACAGAATCTATTTTACCCTCCTGTTGTGTTCTTACACAATTAAATTTTTGCAATAAATTATCTAGTATCATTTAGCTCACATTCAACTCTTACTGTGAGCTGAATAACTATTTACAAACCTGAACCTGCAGAATACTAGCATGTACCCAAAGAGATTTTGTTTAGTGAACATAAAGGAGGAATAGTAAGTATAAAGAAATGGTATTTAAAGATGTGGCGATGGTATCTTCAAAAGTGTATTTCTCTAGCGTATCTGAATTGTGCAGCTCCCGGGAAGTATCTTTAAAAACAAGAACTAGGAGTGGGTGGCAGATTACAAGTTGCTTCCTTCCATTTGAGCACCCTCAAATAAAAGCCAGCTCAATTACCTGTTCTTATTGAGAAAAGAAATAAAATATTCTGGGAAGTCACAGAATGTCAAACGAAGCTGCATCCTCTTCCCTCAGTAAACCTTGGATCTTAATGTTTGGAAGTTGTTTAGAAAAGGGAGCTCACTCTTGGGCTCCACACACCTGCCTGCTCATTCTTCTTTCACTGACCCAAGAGGATGGCTCAGCTGGTTACAGCAGAATGAAGCTCCAGGATCTGTACATTCAGCCTAATGCTCTCCTGCATTTGTGTCTTTGGGAGGGGGTGATCTCTTCCATTTCTTCCTTTCCTGAAAACTGAGTCACAAAGAGTTTGACATATGCCAGTTTTAAAACTTGTAGGTGTTAAAAACTAAATTTGAATCTATTTCTGCAAACTTTAAATTCCTGTTGATTCTCCTTGATTAGATGATAGGAGGGATTCATCTAGTAGTTTCTAGTGTTGTCCATTTATCTGTTGGGTCAGCATTTTATGTTTATCACTCTTCTTACCCCTTTTACATTTTGCCTTCCCTTGTGGGTCTCTGCTGCTTGCTTTCTCATCACTTTCTGAGTTCCTGTGTTTCTTTTCCTCACTTCCTACTTGGTCTTTGGTATGCTCCATCATGGATAGCTTCCTTATAAAGTGGGGTGCAGAGCTGGGTGCAGTGGTGCACACCTGTAATCCCAGCAGCTATGGAGCCTGAGGCAGGAGGATTGTGAGTTCAAGGCCAGCCTCAGCAATGGCAAGGCACTAAGCAACTCAGTGAGACCCTGTCTCTAAATAAAATAACAAAAAATAGGGCTGGGGATGTGGCTTAGTGGTTGAGTGCCCCTGGGTTCAATCCCTGTAACCAAAAAAAGGGAGGGGGAGGGGTTGCAGGAGTAGGTTATATGCACCAGGAGAACCTCTGTGCCTGACTGGCCTGGGTTGATCCAAGAGCTGAGAATAGGTCTTGAGAGCTCAAACACTGGCCAGAATTCTCTCAGCATCATGTGGAACCCTCCTTGGGAGTCCTGTGGATGCTGTGAATCCTGGGGACCTTGCTATAGTCTACCCTGCTCACTACTAGGAAAGCTGGCCTTCTTCTCTTTCTCTGGTATTTGTCAAGGAATTGAACCTCCTTAAGCACCAAGATTCCATAGTTCAGTGTAACCAAAAACTGGTGTATTTTATGTTTGCAGTGCCTACCTTGTGAGTGAGCAAAAAGACACTCTGGGGTGGGTGTTAAATGCCCTGCTTTGAGCAGACTTTTTAAAGTCTATAGATGCTATTTCAAAATTATTGTATAATAAGTGAAAGCCCCAGTTACATTTTATTCTTACCAGAAATCTGAGCTTATAGGGCAGTTTGAGATTTGATGATGAAGATGCTGACTCACTTCAAGGTCTTCTCTCTGAGCCTCACCAAGTTCTTTTTCTATGTCACCTGCCCCTTGGTTAATGGTGCTTGACATATAGACATGGTTTGGAATGATCTGAAAACTATTTTGGCCCCAGAACCACTGGCCTTGTGCCTGATGTGAAGAAAACCTCAGCATCACCCTGGAGTTGAGAGTGACCTAAGTGTGTGACAGGTTCATGTGTTGCCTTTATGGCCCAGGCCATATCAGGAGATGTCTGTTCTGGAGTCTTCCTTGTCCATAATTAAACCAGAATAAAGTAGTTCCTCCCTTTAATCTATATTGTCAATTAACTACCAGTCTAGTCCTATGTGTGTTCAGCCCAGGCAGCAGGAACTGTAGGAGACGCTGTGGGTATTAAGGTAGAGGTACCAGGGGCCTGGTAGTCATTCCATGTCTGATGAACAGTGTGTCAGTAGGAAGTGACTGGCTGCCATGGCAATATTCTGTTTACCTTTATGTTCCTTGTGGTAATGCACCAATGAGTTAGATATGGCCCATGAGGCAATAGCCTCTGATCAGATGAGAAGCAGCCACAGAAAAACAGGCAGGGAATGGAGCAAGGCCAGCATGTTCTAGGGCTGAGACAAAGGAATTAGGGATGAAGAGGTATCCTTGGGGGTCCTCTGTGTAACTAAGTTTTAATTGCCTTTGTGTAATATTTTCCAGAGATGGAAACAAAAATTTTTAATTCTCTTTAGTCCACCTAAATGATCACCATCTCCTTGTCCTTCTAAAAAAGGAGGTGGTCTGTCTGGCTAACACTGTGTTCACACATGCAAACCCCTTGTCCCAGTCACTAACCTTGCTACTGTTTGCCCATGCCAGCAAAAACTCGGGCGGCTGACTTGTTGGTGAACCCCCTGGATCCACGGAATGCAGATAAAATTAGAGTAAAAATTGCTGACCTGGGAAATGCTTGTTGGGTGGTAAGTAGTTTTCTTTCTAAAACATTTTGGTCATGATTCTGAGAAGACCCTTTTTATTTTTCCTTTTTATGTCTCTGTTCCTCTGTGGTAATGCATCTGTTCCTTTCCAGCATAAACACTTCACAGAGGACATCCAAACACGTCAGTATAGATCCATAGAGGTTTTAATAGGAGCCGGCTACAGTACACCTGCAGACATTTGGAGTACAGCATGCATGGTAAGGATAGCCTTTGCCATTTTCTTCTTGTAAATTAATTTTTCCCTTTACTGCTTTTGATGGGGCAATCTCCATGGGGCACAGATCTCAGTTTTTCTAAAAGTGAAAATTGTCAACCATGGGATGGATGAGAGCTAGGAGATTGCTGCCTTGGGAGTCTTAAGAATTGGAAGATGTTTACCTGGGTGTGGTAGCACACACCTGTAATCCCAGTAACTCAGGAGCCTAGGGCAGGATGATTGCAAGTTTAAGGCCAGCTTCCCCAGTTTAGTAAGGTCCTAAACAACTTAGTGAACCCTATCTCAAAATAAAAAGGACTAGGGAATGTCGCTTGGTGCTGAAGCACCTGAGTTTAATCCCTAGTTACCACTCTGCCCTCAAAAGTCTCCTCAGATCCTCAGATGTGTCTAGGATTTTTGTTCTGTTCTATAAGAGATGGTCTCTTCTTCAGGTCCTGTGCAGTCCATCGCCCCAAATATCATACTCATTTGGGGTGACACGGGGCTTTCAGTGTTGTGCAGAGCTCCCCCTTCGCTCATGATGGATGGGGAGGTGGTGAGAATAGGCATCCCTCAGGGTAGGGGTTTCTGGGGCTGGAAGGTTGGAGCCCTGCCAGGTGCAGAGATGGAATATGTCAGCAGCTGCTTTTATGCCCCTGCTGGCAAGGGAAGGGATCTCTTCATATACTAGTGCATAATGTCTTTCTTCATAGAGCAAAGTCTAGAGACTGTTCTGACTTTTCTGGCTTATTGCTCTGGGAAGTACAGTCACTTCTGAGACAGCAGTAGTGGCATATACTCCCTTGGTCCAGGTCTTTTGCTTTGGAGAATATGGTGATGCTTTCCTGGGGCACTGGAGGTCATTCTTTTCACCTAGTGTCATGACATTAGTTGGGTCTAAACTCTTCAAGCTCCACCAGTGTATTTGTTTTTGGGGTTTTTTTTTTGTTTGTTTTTTGGGTCATTTGCACCAATGACCTTCATCCATGAGCCAGTTTCAGTTTCTCTTGCCCAGTTTCAGTTCAGCATCTTCCAGTAGGCTTTACTTTGTCATTCCTCTGCTGAAAAGGTGGGATATGTGGAATGTCATGCTTGTCTCATTATTTTTTATCCAAATTCTTCTCTGATTTAATTTTCAGTTATTTGAGGTTAATTTGATAATTCTTTTGTGTTTACTATATTTTATGCCCACTAATGCCAAGTAAAAGCAGTGTGTTAAGCAGATAGGACCAGAGATGAGAAAAAGTACATACTTTGTGTCTTTCAAGTTGGGATCATCTGAGGCCACATATATGGCAAGATACCTCTAAATACATGCATTTCTATTTCCTTGTTGCTCTGATACATAATACCAAATAATAATTTTAATGTAACTAAAAATTTTAGTTTTTAGTGAGTTTCAAAAACCCAAGTCCTGTCTTAGTAAATTTTGGACCGGAATGGTTGAAAGACCTGGCAGTCATGTGGTGGTTGCTTTGAATTTAGAGCCTGCTGTGTGGAGAGGCCTTTGCCTGCTCTGTGTGACTGGAAGGCAGAACAAGGTGGAGGCTAGAAGCTGCAGGAGGCAGTCCAGGTCAGCAGGAAGGGAGTGCTTGGAACAGTTGGGCTGCAGGGAAGCAATGACCCATTTCAGGAGGTGGCGAACCAAACTGCACTTGTCCCTAGCAACAGAAGGCCATGTATCAAGGCTGCCCTGAATTAGGCTCTGAGAACACTTTCAACTCTGAAGTCGTATGCTTCTAATTTGGGATATTAAAGTTTTGTGATATAACCAGAAAAATGGGACAAAAATCCCAGATACAGGGATAATGGTGGGCAACCTTATGCCAGTTTGTTTGACTTGCATCCTGTTCAAATTTGTCTCTGTACACCATACCCCTGTCCACTGTGTGAACTGTGTTCACATGTAGTAAACAAATCACAGGTTTTTGTTCTGTTCTATAAGAGATGGTCTCTTCTTCAGATCCTGTGCAGTTTTTAGTGAGTTTCTAACCCAAAACAGGCTGTGTCTCCTTTCACTTGTCTCCTTCCCAGGGGCCTCATGTGGCTCCCACAGTGCTGCTAGGGCTGCTTCCAGGGGTTCTTTCTCACCAGGTGGTTGTCAGAGGATAGTTTTTCTGGGGCCAAGCCTTCATTCACTGCCTGAGGGATGCAGCTGAGAGATCCTTTTGTTTTTCCTAGAGAATGTGATGTGACAGAGGAGGCAGTGTTTCCTCACCTCTACACTTTCTCTGAAGCTTGGAAATACTGCTGCAGCATATGAAATTTGACCTCATAATACTAAGCATTACCACAGTTTATTCTTGGTGGTAAAGCCTATAGTCCTTCCAGTTTTATAAATAGTATCAACTATGGCAGAAGCTCCATCAGAACTAAGAGCTGGCAGATAGTGGCTGGTGCCCATGCTGTTGTCGGAGAAGAGAGTTTTGGACTCGAAACTGGAGAAGCATAATCAAATGAGGCAGACTAGCTGGAATATGTCAGTTGCTGGATTTATTTTCCTCTCCTTGAACTTTAGGGCCCTTCCAGATTTAATTGTGTAGTGTATGACCTAAAAATTTGGTTTGGGGAGAGGTGCTGTTTTCTGCACTTGTGGGTCATAGTTCCTGAGTAGGTAACTTTTGTGGGCTCTATGGTGAGTCTTGGTCAATGCCATGCAATAAAGGCGACTCTGAAAACCTCAAGTTTCCTCAGCACCGGGCACATCATGGAACAAAGAGGTGAGCTTCTTATTCAGAACTGGCACTTTGACTCAGGAAGTCATGAGATGAGAGGCTGTCCTGAAGAAAGCCCTCTGAGAAGACGAAGCCAAGACAGAAGGAAGAATCCAAAGTTCCCAAGTGTTAAGAAGTAAAAATGATAATAATATGGTTTATATTGGGAGTAGCTTAGTGAGTTGGAAGTAGTACTGTTTCATATTTTCATAGTTGCCAACATGAAAGGCTTTTGTGAATCACAAAGGCTGATGTTTTATTGTAATGTATGTTTATCCTATTGTGCTTATTGAATTTGTTTCAAAAACATAGTCAACGTCCAGAGAATCAGAACTAGACATCATTACTGGAGCACTGTCATCTTCCCTCTCCCTTAAAAAAAAAAAAAAAAAGATTTCTTTGATAGGCTTTTTAAAGCAAGAGTGAACCCAGGATTATGGAGGGGTAAAAGCAGAGCCAGAGTTCTGCTGGAGCTGCCATCCAGGCAGCTTCTCAGGCCCTCCTCCAATTAGGGAGTTCCCGTTTTCCTCCTGGCTTATAAAGTATTGAATTAATTGTTTGGCAGGCTACAGAGACTCTTTGGGCCTCATGTAATCTATATGTTCCACTCGAAATTGGAGACAAAAGGGAGGTGTACCTTTCCTGATTGGGGATTGGCCCTGCTGTTATTCTTATTAGTGGAGAAGAGAGGCCCTGGGTGGGGACTTCCATGGACCCTTTCATACCTTAGTCCATCTGCAACTACTGAGATGGTTGGTTCTCCCTTTCCTGAGACTGACATGACTGTGTGCTGCTCAGACCCAGATCTCGTTGAAGGCAGGGATCCTGAGTTATGAACTGGTGCTCATCACAGGGTAAATGGCAACAGTCTTTTCAACCCTGTTTCTCTCCTGCAACTGATGCATAGGTCTTTTATTCTTTTAATAATTAAAAAATAAAAGGTGTGTGTAGGGAGGGTGGGATGTAGTCCCATGCTTATTTTGCCCACTCTTAAGGACAGAGCTGTTATGATGGACCCTTACCCAGGTAGATGAGCCCTCCTTTGAGGGGCCGTCTACTCTGGTCATTGGTTGGCTGATGCCCTGCACACCTGGCTATGTTGGGGTCTCAGCAGGCGACTAGAAGGCCTCCTTGGGGAGGGCGTGGCCATTGATCCCCAGGCACCAGTGAAGAGGGGAGCTCTTTCAGAGTGGCAGTAAGTATGGGACATATTTGAAAGGGGATTTAATGTATTCTTGAATTTAAAAACATGGTATTTGGTCAGCAGAGTAATAGCAGTTGCTGTCTTTGTATATTGTTACCAGATTAAACCCATGATCCTGAGTTTTTTCTTTGATCAAGGAAAATGGAAACAAATGACCTGCTCCACACACTGGCATGCTGAGGGGTAGCAGGTGGCAACCTGGGGAGCAGCTCTCCTGCATAACCTCAGCAGGGCTTGTAAGGTGATATGCTTCATTTGGTTCCAGGAACAGAGGAAGGTTTTTCTTGGTTCTAGGTTTTCTTTACCTTGAATCAGAGATGAAGGAAATGATGACAAGATGCTGGCAGATAATCATTAATTACTCATGTGTAAAGGTCTTTGCCTAAAGAAAGCAGCAACATCTGCTGTATAGGGACCACAGGTTAGCCTCATGGTGAAGAAAGGCCTTGGACTGGCCTGATTGAATCCTGAGTTGAGCCCTCTTTCTGCCATTTACAGAATTTGTGGCATGCTGCCACTGGGCCTGCACACAGGTGCTGCTGACTCACTGATAAGTTTGTTTCTGCTTCGTACAACGAAGAGAATTCATGGCCTTTAAATCTTCCATTGGAAGAGCTGTAAAAATGTTCCTGAAGTTTCTTTGAACTTTTTGAAAGAAAGAAACAGAGATTTGAACAGTTTTAGGAGGTTCTTTTGTTTGATCGAGATCCTCATAAAATGTAGGTCTCTTCTGTAAGGAGAGAACTTAGAGCTGCTGGTGTGGGGGCCAGTCTCTGAAGTGCTCAGCATGTCGTCTGTTGTGTCCTAGGCATTTGAGCTGGCAACAGGAGATTATTTGTTCGAACCGCATTCTGGGGAAGACTATTCCAGAGATGAAGGTGAGTGTTGCCTTCTGAAGACCTCAGTCTGGGTCTACTTCTTGTCCTGAACTTCTAGAGAGTATTGTGTTTTTACTAAAATAGAGCCATGTTTTGGTTTTCAAATACCAAATTCAGATGCTTTTCTTTGGGTTTCCAGTCCCTCAGTTTCAGTGAATGGGCAGTGCCTGCCTGGCACAGGCAGCACTCTGCAGAGCCCTCGGGCCTCAGGCTGCTCTGCTCCTGGCCTTCCTCAGTGCAGGCACCTTGTTGGTGGGAGAGGGCAGACTGAACAATCGCAGAGCCTCTCCGGAGTCCTTTTGTCCACTGATCTGCTGCCCATTTTACTGTCCTGTTTGAGCGCTTGAGTTGAAAACCAGGGAATTCTGGCTTGAATTCCATCTGTAAGCCTGACCATCTCCATGCTTACTTGCTTGCAGTGCTGGGGTGGCCTGGGGTGAGCTGGCATCAGTCACTATGGACACTCCGGAGGGTGCCTGAGGCCTGCTAGTCCCACGAGCCTCTGCATGGATGTGCTGCAGACATTGTTGATTTGAGTCTATTTCTGATTTTTTACTAATTTTCGCTTTTTTCCTTCTTCTTTTATCCCATCCTTCCCCTTGCCCCTCCCATTCCCATATCCTTTTTTTCTCTCCTCCATAGACCACATAGCCCACATCATAGAGCTGCTAGGCAGTATCCCAAGGCACTTTGCTCTATCTGGAAAATATTCTCGGGAATTCTTCAATCGCAGAGGTAGTACCTCTTCTTTTTGAAAAGCGCCACGATGCAGACAGAAACGGAATAGCAGCTGCTGATTGTAGTGTTATGGTGACAAAGGCATTTCTTCTAAATTCCAAATGCAACCCAACAGAATTCCTGTGCCGATTTAAAAGTCAATGGGAAGACCGTATTTGGCCTGTGCTGTGGTTGCCCTGTGTACTGGCCCCTCCCTGGGGCCTGGGACAGTTGGGTGCCTTCCAGCTCTGGGTCCTGAATCCAGCTGCATGAGGAAAGCCTATGCTTTTGATCATTCAGGTCGCGCTCTGTTTCTGTCTGCGCGGGCGGTGGTAGTGTCTGCATGCAGTGTACTGATTAAACTGTCGTGTGTTTCTGTTTTGCTGGCAATGTTTCCCAATGCAGATCACATAGCATTGATCATTGAACTGCTGGGGAAAGTCCCTCGAAAATACGCTATGTTGGGGAAATATTCCAAGGAGTTTTTCACCAGAAAAGGTAACGGTATTTATGCAACACTAATTTCCAGCATAATCTTCTCCCAAGAGGAGAAATTGTGCGTTCATGTTTGGGCAATGGAGAAAGACCTGGACTTTTACAGCTGGGGAATTCTGCTGAAGAAAGTTCTCAAGAAATAATCCTGAACCATCTGATTCTGTGGAATAAGGATTTTGTAAGAAAACAACCTTCCTAAAATCCTTTCTCTCCTCCACTTCTTACCTCTCCTACCACAGGCACCAAAACTGTGTATTCAGATATTTGTAAAAAGGATTTTAATGATTTTTAGGAAACAACCAGACTTATCTTTCAATTTCCTTTTTTTCATGGACACTCTTTACTGCAACAGAGGCAGCCTAGAGTCTGGACTCAGTGAATGTCTATCTGTGCTTTGTTGATCTGAGTTGTTTACAGAGGGATCCAGAAATCCCATGTATATAAAATCTCATTTTCCTCAAGTGTTTTGGCATGCTACATTATAGATGATTTGTTTTAATGTTATAGTTCTTGCTGACCTTCCCTTGGTGTGACTCTGAAACAGTTCTTTTTTTGCCCTTTGTAGTCTGCAGTTAGTGATCAGTTTTATAAAATACTATAAACCCCCTCTGCCCTGGGAATTTTGTTTCATTTTAGTACTGGGGATTGAACTCAGGGCTTGATGCATTCCAGACAAGCCTCTGCTATTGAGCTAGATCCCCAGCCCAGGAATTTTTTTTTTTAAACCCCTCCCAAGTGCTATATCATTTTGTGATGGACATAATCAGTGCTCTTATGTCTTGTTTTTGTGTCTTCAATTTGTTTTTGAGTGTAATATTCTTTAATAAAGATTTTTTGGGGGAGGGGGGTTGAGAGTACTGGGAATTGAACCCAGGGGCACTTAACCTCTAAGCCACATCCTGAGCCCTATTTGATATTTTATTTAGAGATAGGGTCTCATTGAGTTGCTTAGTACCTTTTCGTGGCTTTGAGCTCGTGATCCTCCTGCCTCAGCCCTCTGAGACGCTGGGATTACAGGTTTGCACCACCATGCCTGGCTTCTAGCCCTTTTTATATTTTATTTAGAGGCAGGGTCTCACTGAGTTGCTTAGGGCCTCACTGAATTACTGAGACTGTCTTTGAAGCTTTGAACTCACAATTCTCTTGCCTAAGCCTTTGGAGCCACTGGGATATCAGGCGTATGCCACCTTGCTCGGCTTAATAAAAGAACTTTTAAAGTTGATTGAGTAGAACATGGAGGTTCTAGAAATTTCTGAAATTCTCAGATACTTACCTTTTCTTTTTTAGCCAAATTTGAAGAACCAGCTTGACTTTTTATTTTTCTATGAAGAAAATTCTTACTGAGTAAAGTTCCCCTCCCCGATGCAGATAAAGTAGCTTTGCTATTAAACTGTTCAGTGACAGATTGTGAGACTGGGGCATGTCATGGATTCTTTTGATCTTAGGTTTCCTCATATTTCAGTGGTGGATTGTTTCATGTTACAGTGTTGTTGCAAGAAGGTGTAAAAGGATGCCTGTGTGACACATGGCACAGCCAGTAGCTGTTATTGATTAGCAGTAGTACTTAGAAAGTGAATGCAGTTTTCCTAGGAAAACTTTCTGAAAATATTTCAAAATGATTGAACCTAGGAAAAGCTCTGGGTTACCGTGGCCTGGGATTCAGTGTGACTTGGGGAATTCTGTTTATTTTAATGAAGGCATACTCCTCCTTCCACAATTTAGAATGTTTCCAAGGCTGTTGGGATTTGGCCTGCCCCCAGACAGTGTGGCTGACTAGATTTCTCAATGGTCTCTCTCTCTGGTCAGATGGGAGCTGTATGAGAGAGTGGCTTACCACACATCATCCTGGTCTGCTGCAGTATTAGAGCATGTTACTCACCTGATGAGTCTCCAGAGAAGAAGGAGACATGAGAGGCACTAGACATAGCACCTGTTCCTCCCAACAGGCGGATGCGTGGGTTTTAGAAGCCACCTTGACCACCACAGGCATCTGGGCACTGGTGTGGATTGATGGTGAAGGCATGCAGGGATTATTCTTTTGCAAGCAACAGGGATGGACTTGTTTGTTGTCAGGGGACAGTGTAGGAACCACATACTGTGTATAGGAGGGAAAGAGGGACAATAGAAAGGGATTTGAATGATGAGAGAATGAAGTCTCATGAATTAAAGGGTCTCTCCTTGCAGCTGATGGTCATGGAACTGCTCATCAGGTGGCTGCTCTTAGGCTTTCATACTGTTAAATTCTGCCCTGGCCTGGAGCTGTGAGTTCCAAGGGTCAGACCTGCTGAATGCCAGCACAGAACCAGCAACAACAATCACACCATTTGGCCGGAGCCCTCTTCAGAGTGATACCTGGTAAATGGAGATCGGGTGGGTTGTAGGTTTCAAAGAGATCTGCCTGTCTGTGGCCCTTCATGTATGGAAGGCAGCTTTCACATTGGACTTTCCATTAGCACCCTTGTTCCTGTGCCACCTTGTGAATGTGTAGTTATAGTTTACCATCATTGTCACATGTGCTTTTGGACTTGTATGCTTTGGTTCTTTTTGAGCAGTTTGTGTCAAGGTTACCTGCAGAGTTAAAATGGATTTGTCATCCTTTGATGACAGACCAAAAACATTTGGACTTGCTGTTGACTGGTAATCAGAGTGAGTTTTCCTACCTTTGGATGTAAGGGAGAATTTCTCTGTAGGCCAGAAATCCCTGAAATGACTGGATTTGGGACTTATGTTCTTTCCTGATAATTGTTTGTTTATAATGGCTGTGTAATGAGAAGGAATTTAGATTTTTGAAGTCACAGGAATAATATTATGATAAATGAGGAGTTATCATGGAAATAGATTTCACCACATCCCTAAAGATTAAGAAAATGGTTTATTGAAAGACATGTTTTGGCAAGTAGTGTGTGAATATATATTTTGGAAGTAATGGGACCTGAATATATATCCATTTAAAATGTTTTCTAAAAAATACTATTGTGTTAGAACTGATAAAAGACAAAAGCAAAATTTAAAGACTCCAAAGAAGTAGTAGTACTCTTCCTTAGCCAGGAAATTAAAAATTGAACTGGATTTTTGAACAGGAAACTTAATTAATGCTATCTTCCTATTATGGTACTGCTGATTCCTTTAGGTGTAAACATTGGTCACCAAAGATGGTTAAGAAATGAGGGTGTTGAGGTGTGGCCCATTAGAAATCAGCAGCTCTGTAGATTTTGTTCCTGTTCTGACCCCAAGAAGTAGGTGGTCCCTAGAAGTGTCTCAGCCCCTAAGTGATAGTTTTGGAAAGTCAGTGCAGGTGCAGCCCTCTCTGGGCAATATTCTTCTGATCCATTAATAGATACTATTTTAGTAAACATTAGGGTGTTGAGAATGGAACAGTTTAAAAAACAACTGGTCAGGCATGGTGGTATAATCTCAGCAATTTAGGAGGCCAAGGCAGGAAGATTACAAGTTTTAGACAAGCCTCAGCAACTTATCGAGGCCCTAAGCAACTTAGATCCTGTCTCAAAATAAAAAACAAAAAGGTACAGGGATGTGGCTTTGTGGTTAAGCATCCCTAGGTTCAATCCCTGGTATCCTTCCTTCCAAAAAAAATTTTAAAAAAAGAGAGAGAAGGCAGAGTGGGAAGAAAGTATGTTCTATTTAATATTTGAGCTAAAACTTGTTGGAATGTTTTCCTTTTATTTGTTTAATTTATTTTGGTTCTGGAAATTGAAACCCCGGCCTTGGGCATACTAGGCCAATGCCACTGAGCTGTATCCCCAGCACCAGTTTGTTTTAGTTTATTTCCAGAATTACCTAAAAAGTAACAGATTCTCTTATTATTAGCTGTGAGGATCAGAGCTCCATATGGGTGTTACCCACACAGGCTATACAGACATTGTCAATTGCTCTAAAAGATTTTCACATCATCTCACTTTTATAGCTTCCATAGATAGATGCCAAGGGTGTGCATTAGAGCAATTCATGATCATGTGGATATCCTGTGAGGACTTTGTTGCCTTTGGAAACCCTGCAAACTCAGTCATGACCTCTCTTTTTAGGCTCATTTTAGGATTCTTTGTTTTCAGTGTGAGCTTGACTATAGAAATAGCTAAGAAAAAAGTTTCCTTACACTAGTTATTGTCTTAAAGTTTTCACTTCACATACAAACTCCTTTTCACTACAATTTCATCTTAAAAACATTATTCTAAGTTTAGAAAAGCATTTTTTCCTTGGCTGTAAAAAGACCTTATCAAAAAATTAAAAAGAAGAAAAAGAAGGCTGGCGCGGTGGCGCACGCCTGCAATCCCAGCGGCTCGCGAGGCTTAGACAGGAGGATTGCAAGTTTAAAGCCAGCCTCAGCAACTGCGAGGCACTAAGCAACTCAGTGAGACCCTGTCTCTAAATAAAATAAAAACAGTGCTAGGGATGTGGCTCAGTGGTTGAGTGCCCCTGAGTTCAATCCCTGTACAATAAAAAAAAAAAAGAAAGAAAGAGAAAAGACATTAGAAGATAAGCTCTCTGAGAACTAAGATGCAGGAGCTTGCTCTGGTGTACAGCTGGATCTCTAGCCAAATTTAATGCCTGCAACAGAGTAGATTCAGTAAATATTTGTTGAATAAATGTAACCACCTTAACCTGTATGCATTCTTTGTTTTGGATAGAAACCTGTGTGAGCTAGAAATAGAGTGAGCATATGTTCCACTTTGCCTGGGCTAGTGCTAACGTAAAGCCTGCTGTCCTGGCATAACTACTTACCCTTGCTCACACCAGGACCTGCACATTCTATGCATGATAAAGGCCCCCTTGACTGGAATTGTGATGAAAGACAGGGATGCCATGTCCACAATTCTGTGCCCTGGAGGCAGAGTGCTGATAGAGAACATATAGCAAAGACGTCTTATGAAATAATAAACCATAGTCCATACCACTGCTCAGTTTTTAAATTAATACTAAAAACATTTCAAAAATTTTAGCATTTATGATGCAAAAAGCAGTGAAATTGTTCAAATAATGATGAA